TTCTAGATCACCCTCGTTGGAAAATATCTGTTTTAAAGACAGTGCTTAGCTTCGTGAAAGATTATATGGCATCGAACCATACATAGATGTCCGTAAGGATTATATGATTCTTCATTTCCTGCCGAAGCATTTCCATTTTGCGTGTTATTGGAAACTTTATTTCATTCATCTACATGACTATATAAATCTTGAATTATGTCAGTATATCTTGCTTGCGTTCGAAGCTCATAATCTCCAAATGGATATACATATATAGTTCATTGTTTTTTTCTTTGGTCCAAGGCCTCGTTCTTCATGATAAAGCTTACCTAAATAAATAGCAAAAAGTACAGTTACTTTCTGCTAATCGAAAAAAGACTACAAGGCTAGATTTGCTGTTTCGAATCGAATAATTCTGCAAAACAATTGGTGTGAATTACACTCTGACTTGTTCATCCTCGAGAATCAAGTTTTACGACTCGAATTCTGTGGTCCCATTTTTTAGAAACTCATACTGGCTACATTTTAATGATATTACGTACATATCCAAAATATCAGCTGATTAACATACCTTTACAGAGGGTGGACGTGTCGGTGTTCTCCCTATCTACACACCCACACCCCTACCCAGGCCCTGCGCGAGGGCCCCAGGATTGAGGGGGGGTGTGTGTAAGGGAGTTCCGGAGCAGCCAATATCGAGAGACGTAAAATTTCTTTTGCATCAGAACTGATAATCTTTCTGTTGCGACCAAAATGTAACAATTTTTCGCGGAGCGTCAAGTTTTTGCCACCTTCTTAAAAAAATTCGACGTTCTCTGGCAAATTTTCAAGAGAACTCGTATCCAATTTGAGAAAATGTCTCAATACTTTTGTTGTCCAAGGCGACCACTCTGGTGAAAATCGTTCTAAATTAAGCTGTTTTGAAGAAAACATTGACTAAAGTAGGAGGTTTTTCTAAAATAACTGCGGTTACATAATTGCTATTTTTCGCTAAGCGAAAACTTTTTTCAGACTCATAAATAACTCTTCTTTTCCTTATGTTGGTCGAAAGAAAAAAGTGTTACAATAACTTTTAGCAATTTTGCCGCCGAAGGCGGCCATGCTAGTGACGATTACTCGAAAATGAAGCTCTTCAAAAGGAAGACAGCAGTGAACTTGCCATAAAAGTGGAAAAATCACAGATATTTTTAGGACGAGTACGCTCACGTGATTACTTTTTCGCGAAACGAAAAGTTTTAACATCTTTTCAGAATTTTCTAGCAGAAAATTCCAAAAGCTTAATTATTAGGGAGGAGGGTGTACACCCCCCTACACCCCCCCCCCCCCCACTTTTGCGGGGCCTGTCCATATCTAAAAAATAACAATTTAAGATCATGGTGGCAAGTTGAGAGAAGATGATTACGAAGCAATACAAAGCTCGTCTAAATATATTGTTTGATCAATAGCAAGAACTTTTTAGTCGATTACGAAAAAATTATAATACCCTGGTAAACATCTAACCAGGTCTCTGTATCGGACAGATAAGCGAAGATATGTTTAATTCGGTCAACTGAAATTCAACTAGATCATATTCTGGTGCTTTTCTTGTCATATCACGGATGAACAAGCAAAAAAAACCCAAAATATCTCGTTACATGGACATTTGCCGTCATCAATCACCTAGATTCTTGTCGATATTGAACGATAATCGAAAGTATTTATCTCAGTATCATCGACAACAAGTTGATAATTTACGAACGTAAGCTTGACAGAAGAGCTACCGACAGTCGAAAGACACATGTGGTAGAATATGCTCTAAAGATCAGATAAAAATATCAGTTTTTACGTCTTTCAAATATACACATATTCGTTTCTATACTCCATCAGCAGCACCCATGCATTGTTTCGTTCGCTCTCTTCTTGTCTTCGGTCTCCTTGCTTCGGTACTGATTAGAGTCCTGCACGGGTACTACTTTTCGCACCCGGACCCGGCCCGGCTCATTTTTTTCAAACCCGGAATCCGACCGGACCCGGTCATCTTCCACCCGGAACCGAACCGGACCCGGATAGCTCTATCCGGTACCCGACCGGACCCGGCCCAGCCTTGAAATAGTCAGCACTTGATTGTTATTGTCAAAATTATATTCACTTTTCAAACTTTTATTTCGTATGGCAAAATATACTATTATTTTAATTTCATCAAGTAACAATTTGTACCTGGACCACAGTTCCGGGTCCGATCGGGTGCCGGGTATCCGGCCCCGTTGCAGGACTCTATCCTAGAGTGTAAAATACTTTTACTTGTTAAGATGTCATCGACTACCGGTCGGGTACCGGGTATACTCAAATCCTGCACCCGACCCGGCATTTTTTTTATACCCGGGACCCGAACCGACCCGGCAAATTTGTACCCGGACCACAGTTTCGGGTCCGGTCGGGTGCCGGGTACTCGACCCCGTTGCAGGACTCTAGTACTGATGATCTACGCATCAGAGGCCATCTCAATATTAAAGGGTTTGAGTCACGTATCAATGGAACTGGATAATTGCACTGAGCCAATCATTAGATGTGGTGATCAAGAGTGTTGTGGTGGCAAATGTAGAATCAATTGGGGTGGATCTTGGTGCGGATAAGATCGCGTGCTTTTTCGTCCAAAATTAGTCCCAAAACAATTCAAAATCAAGCTTGTCATTTCTTTTACGGATTACCAATAAAGTGAACGTTTTGACGCGATCGAATATCAGAGTTGTTTGACACTACTGCCCAACTCCAGCAACCAGTAGCAACATGTTGATCTTGGACCTAAGTGGATAGCTTTTCATTGACATCGGAAACGCACATTTATCTGGTCTGTCTTAAGAGTTCCTGAGAAGGGTGCGCGTGCGTGGGTGTGAGTGTGAGTTGGGTGTGTCTGTGATATGGATGGGGTATGGGTGCGGGTTGGGTGGAATTAGAACACTCACATCCACCCACACTCCATCCCACACTTCTAAAATTTGGTAGGATTTGGTAAACACTCATATTTTCACGAAATCCTACCAAATCTTAGAAGTGTCTTGGTTAGATGTGATAATTTTACACCATTATCAACTAGAGCAATTAAAACTGGTTATAATCGACACAAAGGTTTGGTTGAATTTGGTAGGTCTTCAGACAAAAAATTTGCAATCTTTATGTAGAAAAATAAGATTCGTTGCACCCCTATGTATAACTAAAAAAAACCTAAATCCGGTCACATTAGTCGAAAACAGTAAAAATACACTGACATATTCATATATGTAATTGTCTATAGATAGGAAACGAAGAACTTTTTCTCTTCAATTATTTTTCTTTTTATCTTATTTTCTTATTTCCCTCGATTTAAAAACTTAAAAACTAAGAATTATCTGCAACGATATTGAAATTTGGTGGGTGTGCGTTTGAATCTGAGTATTCTCTTCAGCGACACTCACATTTCAGATTTAAATAAATGATGATTTGCTAAATGTTTCGAACAATATATAATTAAATTGCTTGAGAATGTCTTTAAAATGTCGTATAAGTAAAAATAGGTATTTCTGTTCACTTAGTATAATTTATTGAAAATTAAAATAGATTAAAATAAATCTTAAAATGTTCGATATCAATTATTATTCATGATCGAGATCACTGGATATTTGTTTTGTTGAATAGAAATTTTTCAGAGTTTGTTTCAGACTAGACTCTTGTCATATTATAATCAACGAATATCCATGAAATGAATGAATCTTACTTATTAGTCTACATTACGGTTTAAAATTTATTATTGATTTCATAAGAAAAACTTCAAGATTAATATCATCTTTGTTTGAAAGAAAACTTGATGAGATACAATAAAATTTTTCATCTTAGAAAAAATTTCAAAATACATTTCTGCTAAGGGGAAATTAAAGTTAAAAAAAACAACAAAAAACTCTTTTTCACTACAAAAAAAAAATAGTAACGACTTCGAAATCTGTCTCATACATATAAAATATAATTAGGAGATAAATTGAATTATTAGTTAGTTTTCACTTTGAATCTCCTTAGAAAGATAGGATTCTCGTTTATATATTTCACTTTATTTGTTTTCTTTTTTCAAAAGATGAATAAATTTTTTTAAATATAAATCGAAATTTTATCTATTTCAATGTTTTTCCTTTATTAAAAATATATTAATATTTATCTTTTGTGAAATAAATATAAAGATAAGATTAACAATCGATGGATAAACTTATTTTTGTTCTCATACGCTTTTTCACGTGTTGTTTAAATGACAGTACAATTTACGTTATCAACACATAGCTTGAGTTGTTACGCATCATAAGCAAATGTAATACATTGATTTAGGTATATTCATTTATCACCAAACGGCGTCTTTTCTATTTTCGTTCACAGTGCAATTTAAATGCTTGTTTAACTCTTGTACAACCAAGAGGTTTGTAGATACCAACTTTACTATGTAAGGTACCTGCAATGCGAATTTTGAGTAAAAATGTTTTTCTTCTTTTTTTTTACGTCATTTGATAGAGCTTGAGCTGCGGGTGTGGATGTGAGTGTGTTGTTGAAGAACAGAACAGCAACCACGCCTAAAACCACTCGGACAACTTGCATCAACATCCACATCCCACCCACACCCCAGCGAACAGTAGTCACACAATAGTGATGTATGTGCAAATAAAAGCTAATTTAAATTTGTGTGACAAACAAGAAAGCTTTTGGAACATTGCCAAACACATGAGTATCTTATTTTCAAACCATCGAAATGATTCAATCGAAAAAAAATCAGGTGATGGTCAAGAATATTATCGACTGAAGATCATTAGATTGTAATGTGAGGATTAGATATTGTTTCATTTGCATACAAAATGCTCGATGGAACAAGTTCAACACTATATAAATATAAATAGTTACATCGAATAGAAACCTTTCTTGGAAAGTATAGGAAAAGATTAGATTAAAATGGATTTTATGATTCTTCTCGGCGACTTTCCCTCACAACACTCATAGAATATTTAATTTTCATTTATTTTCAAGATTAATAATTAACCATTCCATGAAACACTTAATTGTCCGTACCGAGGATCGTTTTTCGACACACCAAGTGCTTGCCATACAGCTGGCGATCCATCAACAATGTTATTACGACACGGGGGTTGTCCGGCATGTTCATCGTCACAACCATGTACTGAATCGCATTCATCGACGACCTCAGCTGTTGTTGTCTTTCCATTTCCATGTATCGTAATCATTTTTCCACATCGGCTACCTCGATTAAACCATCCCGTTGACAAAGCGACAACACGTTGTGTGTCTGGATAAAAAGCTCCATAGCATGCGCCACCAAAGCCACCGTCACCGCCCTCTCGGAAACTGTTTAATGTGAGAATAGCTGAAGAAGTTGATGATGGAGAACACGTATATTGAGTGTAATTGACGTTCGATTTACAGCATGTAGAGAAATTTTCTGTGTTGCATAAAGTACTACGAAAAAAAAAATTCTACATGTTTTATGCAAACGAGCAAAATAGAAATGTTACTGAGTGCCTTGCAACACACCAGAGGGTGAACATGTTCCATCACCACCACCATTTGACGATGAATCACTACTGCATTTGCCATTTACACAAATCAACGATCCATCACAATCGTCATATGTCGAGCATGAATCTCCACAACAATGATCAATCCACGTACACGGTGTGTTGCATACAGTACTACCAACGTCACCGCATTTTCCATTTAAGCAGATCATTGATCCATCACAGTCATTGTATGTTGAGCATGGATCGCCAGCACAATGGCCTAACCATGAGCAGGACTTCAATTCACGTTTTTGAATAATACTTGATTCAAGACCAGGCACAAACAGAAAGCAGATAACAAAGAAAATCATTCGCTGAGATATCATTGACTCGAAAAATCTAGAACAGAAATAAAAGTGCCGAAGCAACTGCCAGAAGTGTCAGTAGTCGTATGGAGACATAAAATTGATGAACTTTTACTTCGTTTTTGTTATCAATGATTTACTCAACGACTAAACAGCACAACATTTATGAATGTTGCAAGATTGTCGGCATTAGTAGAGAATACCGATGACTTAGGAGATAATATTGCCGTTTGTGAAAGGCATAGACTAACAAAATACTTCACAGGAGAAAAATGAACGTATTACAACATTGAGAACGGAATACTAATTCTCATACATATGTCTAGCATTAGGATATGTTTTAAAGAAATAATATCTTCATTAAAAAAGATCGATAGTTTTTGTAAACCAGTAAAATAAGTTTAACGAGTTTCGTCGCAAAAGCAAAACACTGAATGTTTGACTAACGTTATTCTGCAAAAAAAATAAAGCCTGTGACGAATAATGCATCGTGCACCTTTGAAATGAATCTTCCATCACATGATGAAATAGAAAAATCAATATTATTGTCCTTGTTTTAGTGTTTTGTTACAAAGAAACAATGGGACGTAGATTCAACGAACACATTTAGAAAGAAAGCCTCTCTTTAAGCTATACAATTTATCATTTTTAGTCACATACATCTTCTAAATCCCTAGAGTATTCGAGAGCAATGCCGACGACGATTGAACGTAAGTTCGTCGAACGAAGAGAATAAGAGCATTTACTTTTTCTGATAATAAAATGGAATTCTATTTAGATATTCGAGAAATATCTTATAATTTAAAGTGAATGTCAAAAAGGAATATGATCAAACTGTGAAAATGGGATTAAGTCTAAGACACTAAGAATCAACAAGCTTAGGAGATAAACTGACTACGTAATTAAAACGAGATAAGAGTGAAAGAGTAATTGTCAAATATGCAGATAGAAAACAGATTGAAAAAAAAAGAGAAGTAAATCACTCTAGAATAAATGTCCACTGCCATTGTATAAGACCATGTTTCAGAACAATTGAAATATCTTAGTAGAATTCTATGCTACTATTAATCAATATGTTTCAATAGCATTAACTCTTTCGATGCTGTGTGTGTGATGTGTGTACTATAATATGCCGATTGTCACTAAAAAGTATTTTCAGAATAGTAAATTAATATATGAATAATTATTGGAATATAGAAAATATTTGGTTCAATAATTTTCAAAAGAAAGAAGTGATTCTCAATAGAATTTCTCCAAAAAATTAGCGATATGTCAAGATACTGTATAAGACTATAATCTTTTAACCTCGAGCAATAATTTAAGTGCCAGCAGTCGGAAGAATGACTATATGAGTAGATTGAAACAAAGCGTCTCATAAATGCAGATATGTCGCTTGTGTGACCGAACAAACCGGAGGTAAATGTTATGTGCATCTATTACTTTGACTATAAGATCATTTTCGAACACGCATTGACAAAATACATCATTATTATATGAAATGTTATCTTTTGACGTTGTTACGTTCTACTGTTGACTACGGAAAGTTTGTCAGTGCAACTCAGATGAGAACAGAATACGAACGAAAGAGAAAACGTCAATTTTGTACTTCTTTAGAACTTCTTTTTTTAAACTGATCGTGAGTTTTTGCACTTTGGATATCACAAAAAAGGGTGTAGGTGTGAGGGTCTTGTTTTTGTATCCAAAAACCCACATTCACACCCTTACACTCACACCCACACCCACACCCACACCCATACTCTAATCATCTTGACTCATGAATGTTAGTTGGAATTTCCCTACTGAAAGTTGGTAAATTGGTTTCTATTGAAAAAAAGAACATGGACAAATAGACAAAGAAATACTTTAACTATTCGTCACAAGAATGATGATTAATTTTACATAATCCATATAATGACAGTCAGCTATGTCATAAGAAAAATATATGATCGTCGTATGAACAAAGCCAATAAGGTATGTCAAGTACATAATATTACGGAAAACTTTTTTGATTTTGATTTTGCAAAAGCACAAAAAACTTTTCGGATTGAATGTGGGTGTGGGGTGTGGGTATCGGTGTGGCTGTTGGCATTCTTTTCTTTCATACCCACACCCAACACCCACACCCACACCCCACATCCACCCATACCCCACACCCACCCACACCCAATACCCATCCACACCCACACCCACACCCACACCCACACCCACACCCACACAGCCACACTCACACATCCACACCCAAGAACGTGAATATTGGTTCAATTTTTGGTAACAATAAGAAGAATTCCATATTGCATGGTCAATTGTGAACAAGTGAATCTTAAACATTGTTCAATGTTAAAACAACGATCACAATCAGGATAATAAAAGGGTAGATGTGAGTGTGGGTGTGTGGGTGTGTGGGTGTGTGGGTGTGTGGGTGTGTGGGTGTGTGGATGTGTGGGTGTGTGGATGTGAGTGTGGATTAAGAGACTAATTGCCTGTATACCCACACCCACACCCACCCTAGCGCTCATCCTCACCCTCACCCATACCCACACCCACTCTCACCCTCACCCACACCCAACCTTACACACCCACATCCACACCCACACCCACCCTTACCCACACACACCCACACCCACCCTTACCCACACACACCCACACCCGCAAATGGATCAACAACGACTTTGATCTTAGACGATGCTTACTGGACTTGTTTATATATATTAAAAGGAACAGCTTTGTATCTAGAATATACAGATTAACAGACAGTGAAATATCTTTCATCAATAAAACTCACGGATCATAAAGTTTGCTGATTGGATAAGTGGATAGAGCGAGATTGTTACAGGCATATTTAATCGAATATTTTCTCCAAAATGAATCATCATCCGATTGATGTCCGACATAGACATCGCACCAAAACCTAGTTGTAAATCGTTGTTTAATCCATTGTTTATTCATGAGATAGTTAGGTGTGGTTGATAATGTATTTGTTTGATTAGTTGAAACAAAATAATGATCGAGATGCAAAATACCATATGAATCATGAATATCATATTTATATAAATTATCACAAGAATGTGGAGAAAAACCTGCTTTAAGAACAGTTGGTTACTGTAATATAGTCATCATCGGAGACTTAAAAACAGACCAACTCAAACCATACATTCTAACAAGGCCATATGAAAGAGAATAATCAGCGAGTTGTTTAATAACATGTTCACAATCATCTAATTCTTGTGCTGTATATTCACATTCAATTGGAACATCTTGTGATGAACCCGTACCACAAATACCGACTTTTGCTACCTAGAGGACAAAAATAGATAGACATGTCTGATATTGATAATAAAAAATCTGCTTACAATGAAACCTCGGCGTGCTAGATTGAAAATGTTTGGTTGATCAAAATAAAAGAAATTGTCATCTTTTCTATAAGGTTTATATTCGTATAGAACAGAAAATTTTTCATCATTATGTTTCGGCACAAGAATAACGAGTATAAGTGACTGATGAACACCATCAGGCATTCAAAGCCACATCTTTTCTCTTGTAAATTTATACATATTTGCATTGAGAATTAAGAAAGAAAAATAGACGATTATAATAAACTATGAAAGTATCAATGAAATCGATGGCAAAAATATAACAAGAATCAGTTTGTAACGATTGTGAAAACTAAATAGTAATAGTTTTATCTTTTCTTCTACCACATTTCATGTTGACAGTACAGATATTTGCTAAGAATAGGATCGATAATCATGCGAAGTAAATGTCATAAATGAGTGGCATCTAAATATCGAAAAATACCTAAGACAACAAATATTTACAAAAATACGATTATCAAATAGATATATTGATTAAAACACACACAGGTAGTTCTTTACTTAATGCACCCTATAAAATTTCGTTTATTTGTCTACAGTTGTAACCATACGATCAATTTATCTAAAGTTGTTCTTTTTAGTTTTTCACACTATATGTTGTTAATAAAATGAACCATATCGGATGTTTTGTCTTCAAATATGTGCTTATTCTGTTGGAACTGGTTCGAAAATGGATTCAGATTCAAATTCACACTTTCTTTATTTTCAAAATCATGAATGAGCTAGGTTAAATCGACAACGAATAGAGTTCGTGTTCGAGCATATTACATTTTTCCATTATTGAATCTAAATAAGTTTATTATTTTAAAATTGATTTCATCAAGAAAATGTAATTTTATTTACTGAATGTTATAGATCGTTTCAGAAAAAAAACTAAAAATTGCTATAACTAGAATTGAAAGAGATCAGCAACTCAATCAATTGTAGTTCTTAGGGTTTTCAAAGATTGTTAATATGTCACAACTTACAAGAATATTATAGTAGGTTTTGTAACTTAATACAATGTTGATGTTTATCTATTGTTTAGGCATTAGATTCGATAAGAGTTTAACAAAAAAACATGAAAATACAAAACATAGAACATTACACGATATGCATTTAATCGAATTATACAGTATCACATGAGATCTATTATCGAGCATAAAAGAAATTCAACTCGATCGAAGCCTACACAAACGGCAGCAGAGTTTTATAGAGTTGAAGGAAACTTCAAAAATAATATATTCATCAGGAGAAGAAGGTTAGGAGACGTACCAGACAGAAAATCAGTTCTGTTTGAACTTCCTATAAACACGCAGTCGGTTCCGTTCTTAAAAGAATAATCTAATCTAATTGCTGATAAGAACTATATCAGCTCAGAAAACATTCTGGATTAAGGAACATGGAGATCTAAAACATCGATATAGAAAAAAAGATAAAGAGGTATTTTTTTACAATTGACTTTATTTTAAGAATTGGAATAAATTCATAAGAAAATGACATCCTTAGTATAGTTATATCAAAAATTAGTTATTTAATAAAATAAATGTCTAAATTTCAGGTTTTTAGACATAAGATATT